ATTAGTCCCGTCACGTTGTCACCCTCTTATATATACCAGACTACCCTATATCTAGTAATCTCCCGACAATTCACGAAGGTACAAGATATTTCCAGAAAGCAGGGGGCGTGACACTAGTCACGTGACCTCGCTGACGCAACATAACTTGCAAGATTAAAAGCATAGTTTACAAAAATATAGTTTTTCGAATTTGTTTAAAATATATATCAGGAAATGAATAACTATATTTAATCACCAGTTATCCAGGCAAATTGTTTATTTAAATAACAACTTTCAATTTTTTTGTTACTTCTGAAATTTTCGTTTTGTATGGGTCCACCGGTTGGTTACTCACTGTGGCACAGCGGCATGTCTGCGGACTTACAACGCTAGAAACCGGGTTTCGATACTCGCGGTGGGCAGAGCACAGATAGCCCATTGTGTAGCTTCAAACAAACAAAACCAACGGGTGGACAGCGATAAGTCTACATAAACGTAAACGCCAAAATCATGGATTCGATTCCCCTCGATGGACACAGTAGATAGCCCGATGTGACTTTGCTATAAAAACGTTTTGTGTGGACTATTTTGAACATCAATAATCATTACTTTTTAGACTTACGAAAGTTGCAGCTAAGATTTATAGCACATATGCATATTTTAAGTTCTTGCTATTTCTTGAGTCTTAACCAGTTTTTCAGAAATGAATCCAGCAAGGACAAACTAAGTTGGGATTTTTATAACAAAAAAATTATAAAGTGTTACTATATTGTTTAGTGGTGTTTATTTATAAGCTTATATCTAATATGTTTGAATATTAAATTTAAAATAAAACGTTTTCTACGTTGGCGCATAAAATTTAAAAAATCACAACATCTATGATATGCCTGTAATCTCTATAGTGTGAAGACTCTGTTGTACATGCGGTTAACTTGTTACGAATATATATATATATATTATTTGGAAACAAGTAAAGTGTGTGCTGTTTATTCATCATTGAATTTATCGCTAACAAGTCACAGACACCTACTGTAGAAAAATCCTAAGCCCAACAACAATATAGTATATATTTGATGACGAGGAACCCACTTTGAGACTAATAATGGCTGGAGACGGCTTAAATGGGTAATG